CGGGAAGCAAGGAATGAGTCACCAGTCCAGACAAATTGCCTTCAAGTCACTAAAATTAAGCTGAAGAGAGTGGTCCCAGCGGTACTATGGATCTGGCAGCTGTGAGCACCTGCCTTCCTGATGCATTGCAGGGTCTTGAGAGTGAGGAGTGTTACAGGATGTCTGCTACTGCCACTACTTGTGGGAGGGAGGAGGGCTCAGGGTGCAATGATTGGCACTGCAAAATCCTGCAGTCCTAGGAGGGCACAGAGAAACTGTGGAGTTGAGCCAGCTTACCACTCCCCGATGCAGCACCACTTCTGAGTTTCAAAGGCTGTTTCTTGCACCAAGGAAGGTGCATAGGTAGCATCAGCAACAACCTGCCACAGTGAATGAAGCTCCTGAGGTCCCCTGCCGCCAGGGAAATTTCTGCAAATTCAATTCATGATCGATTCTGAGAAAGGCAGTTAATTCAGTGATGTGACACATTATCCACTGATGATGTCCAGAGCAAGCCTGGAGGACATCCTGCGGCAGCAAGTTCCACAAATGTCTGCACTGCTGCCGAAAGAATTGCCCAAGCCCCATCCAGAGGTAACATAAATTGTGTCAGTGTAAGTCCAGAAGAGCAGAAATTAAGTCTCTGGTGTGGACATTATACCTGTGGAAGGGCAAGGGACACAAAGCCCTTGAGGTGGGGGTCTAGCCTGCCTTAAACATCCTAAACATTACGTGAATCAATGAATTCCCAGTGGGTTATTAATTCCTGTCCAGTTTTCAAGCCTTGGCTTTTACCTTCTCAGTCTGCCCTTTCCCCTGTCACATGCGGCAATGCAGAGAGGAGAGACTCACCGTATCTGCCTACCTGTGGAGGTGCATAGGCTTAGCTCCCCTCCCAACACAATCCAGGCCGTTTGCACAACTCCATTGGAGCTGAGGCAGGGAATAGGGCAGGACTCTGAGCATTGAGGAAGCCAGCTGGAAGCCTGGAAGTTGTGACCCTATGGCTGTGCTAAACGAGTCCTGCAAGGCGTAGCTGGCCTGGGTAGCGCTCTGCTGTTGCACGACTCTGTTTTCTCTATGACACGACTTGGGGGGCTCCCTGCGTGATGCTGTAGATACCTGCCCTGCCATGACAAAGATAACCACTGGGTGCTGCCCATGCCATTCCTTCCCCGGTGAGGCCTCATCTCTCCTCTGTGTCTCCAGACAGCATTGTGGCCAAGATCTAGGCTAAGGCGAACTGACAGCTTTGAAGCTCTGTACTGCCTTCATCTGTTCACCTTTGAGCAGCACTGACTGGACATGAAATTGCTCAAGCAGGTTTGGAAGGCCAGGTTTTAGACCCTGGCTATGTTCTGCTCGCAGAGATACTTCCTACGACTGTTAAGGCTGGAACTGGCCCTAGTTGCTCAAATGCTCCTAATGGCAGTGCCAAATGTCAAGAGCTATGTGACTGCACAGCACAAGGAGTCACCGATGTCAGCTGCAGGGTGGGGAAGGGGGTGAGGACTACAGGGAAGCACTTTGTGCAGAGAATGGGATGGGGAAATCCTAATTTCTTTCCTGGGAGAACTGCTCACACAAAGGAGCTTAATTTCTTGCCCTGCCCCATTTCTTCTGGGCCTACTCCTTGCAGCAGAGATGAAATTTGGTAGGAGAGTTTGGGGCTGTTGAACTGGACCTTTTCCCACAGAAGGTGCAAAAGACATGAGATAGATTGTGCATGGAGCCAGGGGAAGGAGAGAGTTGAGACAAACACCCCTCTATTTGCCCATCTGCCCTCAGCTCCATCCATCTGGAGGTGCTCACAGGGCAGAACAGAAGGGTTTGTGTGTTCAGCATCCACCTCAATTTCAAAGCATCTTGCCAGCCAGAAGTCTTCACCTTGTCCCTGCAGCTCTGAGCAGCACCGGTCCTGCCTGCAAGATCCTCGAAACAAGGAGCCCCTCTCCTCTGTGCCCGTGGGCATTCAATACACAACTCCCTTTGCCTTAGGGGAGCCGAGCTGAGCGGACCCCCCCTCCTGCCACGCCACTCTCCCACCACACTGCTGCTCTCTGCATCCCTCTCTTCTTTCTCTCCCTCTCCCCTCCGCTGTCCTCAGCTTCTTTTACCGCTCTCCCCATTCCTCCATCCTCCCTTCCTCCGCACTCCCCGCCTCCCCTTGCCCCTCTCCTGCACCTCCCTCTCCCCTTTTTATCCTCCACCCGAGTCTTTCCTACCGCTCCTCTCCGTTCTCCTGCCCCCATCGTCCATCCCCTCCTTCTCCTTCTCCTGCCGGTGTTGCCGTGCGTGGCGCCGATTGGCTGCCGGCATCCGGGCCCCCGCAGC